GAGCTTCTTGCTCTGAAAACATGCAGCCTTAACTATGTTTGTGTGCTTTAATCATGCTCTTCCCACACCAAAAAAAAAAACAAAAAAACAAAAAAAAATATTTAATTTTAGAATGGTTATGAGCAATAGAAGAGTGTGGCCATAGTGCAGAGAGCTCTTATCTGCCCCAACCACGTTTTTCTGGGTAGTAATGTCTTCATGTTATCAAACCAATGAGCTGGTGCTGGCATAGAAATACTGAGTGTCCTTTTGCTGTTCTAGTGTTCCTACCAGGTTTCCAGATTACGTTAAATTGCTGTGTCTCCTGGGCTGGGCTCCTCTTATCTGGCATAGCTCTCAGATGTCTTAGTGTGTTTTGTGCTGCTATAACTGGAAAATCTTAGGTTATTTATTTATTTACTTACTTTAAATTTCATTTTAGCTGTAGAGGTGTTTATCCATGTAAAAGCTGTATGTAGTGATACATATAGTCCCAGAGCTTTAGAGGAAAGACAGGCAGATCCCTAGGGTTTATTGACCATCCTGCCAGCTCCATGTGCAGTGAGATACCCTGCCTCAAAAATTAAGATGGAGAGCAAAGGAGGAAGTCATCTGCTATCAACCTCTGTTCTGTACATATGTGTGCACACATACACACACGTCTGTATACATACACACAAGTGTGCATATGTATAAAGAGGAGAAATTTATCCTTGTATAATTTTGGGCAGCCCGGATACCCAGGATCAAGGTGCTGCCATCTGATGTGGCCTTACTGTGCTCTCACACTGTGGAAGGACAAGCCAGAGAATCTACTTGGAAATCTGTAAAACAGTCCATTCACAACGGTTGTGTTTCATGATCAAACAGCTCCCACGTCCCACCCTCCATGATTTGAGAGGGGTGTCTGTGTTTTATGGAATGGCCACCACTGGTCTGGTGATGCTTATGTGTTTGAGGAGAAAGGCTCACAGAGGTCAAGTGGCTTTCTCAATACATCCTGTGGAGGCTATGTGCTACCATGGAGTGCATTTCTGTGCCTGGTGCATTCTGAGGGTGTGGAGACCTGTTTTGCCTTCTAGAGGGTAGAGGATCTGGCTAAGTGTCCTGGCATTTGTCTGTATGGGAGATTTTTCTTTCCTGTTTATTTTTTTATTCCATCACTCAGTACTAACTTACTACACATCACTGTGAACACATGGGTGTTTTCTACTTGAGGTTATAATCCAGGAGCACTGGGTTTGCTATTTCTGAGTTCCAGCCATGGGGAACTTCATCAGCTGGCTCCCAGTTGCTTTTGATGAAGTCCATCCTGAGACTTTCCTTACCAGTGTCCTTTCTGGTGCTCCAGGGTTACCTGTGTACTCTCTGTCTCCCCCAGAGTCATCTGGCTGTAAAGTTGGTCCTGGTTCATCAAGTCCACTTTATCACCCACATCTGGATCATGACCCCCAGTGACAATCACTGCTCTGTCTGTACCCATCCCCATGTTAAAGAGTTTTTATCCCCATGAAAACTGGACCTCTGAAAGAGGCAGCCTATCTAAGACCACTCCCAGGTGGCCAGGGCTACATCCTCCGCATACCTGTGTATCGGCTGATGTTTCTATTGCGGTCCAGGTTCAGCATAGCACCGCCCCATCCAGATCATTGTGTGAGCCAATCAGATACGAATTCTCCTGCATGTGCCCAAGGCAGGGTCAACAGAGGTACTGGCATGGTCTGTGTGGAGGCTGCTGACACAGATCTGTGCTCTCTAGCCTGAAGAGGATTTTGTAATGTGAACTTGTTGTAAACACACAGACTGAGTACAGATACAGCAGGTCTACCCACATGACTGGCCAGGCTTCAGTGGTGAGCCAAAGAGAAGCTTTAGAGTCTATTGACTTCTTGTGAGCACATCTCCTTTCCACAAAAGGTGGTGGATTCAAGAGAAGTCAATGCAGGCAGCAAAGCCCTTTGACTTCATCCAGTGAACTTCCAATAGTCACCAACGCTGAGCAGAGCACGAAGACTTCTAGTGTTCTCAAACCTGAAGCAACTAGGTAATAGGATTAGGTGTAAATATTCACATATACCAAAGACAGTTTCCTTTTCAAAAATGTAAATGAAATTTTATGTGTATGTATGTTTTGCCTAAAGGTATGTGTGTGCACAACTTCAGTGTCCAGTAGAGGCCAAGAGAGGGAGTCAGGTCTCTGGAACTACATTTACAGACAGTTGTGAGCTACCATGTGGGTGCTGGGAACTGAACCCAGGTCCTCTGGGAGAGCAGCCAGTGCTCTTAGCTAGTGAGCCATCTTTCCAGCCCCTGACATTTTTCTTTTTAAGTGAGGAAATATTATAGCCACCAGAAAGCTCCATAGTTTCAGAGGCTCATACATGACAAGCTTATTTGATATTGATTTGATATTGAGTGTTCCATTTCAAAAGACTTCTGTCGGTTTTATTTTTGTTTTTATTATTTATGTTTATAATCAAGGCTGGACTATCTGGATGAAGAATTGATCCTTTAAAAGTTTTGAAAGGAATGAGGAAGCAATAATGTCTGAGGCCATTTGTTTGTAAATGAAAGACAACCATTTAGTATCAGAACAATAAAAAAAAAGCTTTTGGTTTATGTTGCTAAAACATTCACATTAGGATAAGCTTCAGGTCTAGGAGGGTCTGGGTACCCAGGCTCTGCTGTCCTGTTTATTACCAGAGACTGTTTTCATCTGGGTGTGTTCTCAGGCAGGATTTCTTCAGGGGAGTCCTCTTAGTGGTCCTGCACAGGGAGTAATAGTTGGATCCATACTTAATTTTTTAAAAAAAATATATTGAGTATACAGTGTTCTATCAACATGTATGCCTGCAGGCCAAATAAGGACACCAGATCTCATTGTGTGTGGCTGTAAGCCATGTGGTTGCTGGGAATTGAACTCGGGACCTCTGGAAGAGATGCTCTTAACCTCTGAGCCATTTCCCTAATTATTTGTGGGCTGTTGGTTTTTGCCTGGGTCATGGGCAAAGTTAGGTTAGGGCAAGTGTCAGAAGTGTGCTGTGGAATTACAGAAAGACTGAGGTGTTGGTGTCAAAAGGAGGAGTTGATAGGTCATTTCTGATTGATTTTGGCCGCCATTAGGATAAACACTTTGCTATTGGGTAAAAGAATGTAACTTTGACCTTCCCTTTTCCTTCCATAATATGCTTGATATAGATCATTAGATTAAAAACTTACATGAATCAAGAACTATTTGTTTCAGGTTTTTTACTTGCCTTCTACAAATTTCACTGTATCTTAGTGACAGAGACAAGGTGACAGACATTTAGGGATGTAACTAAAACTGTGGCTGCATCCTCTGTCTTCCCTCTGGAGCAGCACCTACTTGGGGATGCATCCATGCGAAGGGGTTTGGTCCATTGACCAATGAGATATGGAAGGCATCCTATGTGGATTCCAGTTAGTCCTTTGCTTACCACCTCCTAGTACAGCAGGAAGAGGCAGTCACCTCCCCCTGGCGGTTGTTCATTTCCTCCCTTCTGAGTCCTGTGGAAATCAAATTCAAAATGAATTAACACCTACCTCAGAAGAGAAGCTGTGGGTCTGTTCATGGCATCAGAGCACCTGATTGATGTCTTTATATTTTCTAGCTAAATATGAAGAATGTTTTTTAAAAAAACTGTCCTCACCACAATTGTGCATTGAGTTTGTTTTGTTCAAATTCTCTGCTTATTTTAAGCCTTGCTGGCCTGGTTCATAACGTCATGTCTTTTTTGTGTTTTTTCTTTTCTTTTTTTTTTAAATTTTCAAAATAATTGTGTCTGGGCGATGGTCAAGATTCACGGACCCCCCCTTGATTACATTTCTCCTCCATTTATGCAGCACTCATGCCTTTGTGTTTTGAGAATATTTTTAGAACCCTAATGAGGCGGAAGGATTTGTGTATCATTTCACTTAGCTTCCCTCTGTTCAGACACCTGCGCTTGCCAGTAATTACCACGCCTGTGGGTCACATTCTTGTGTTCTCTGTCTGTTATGCAGTGTTTTAAAACAATATTGGGGGAAAGCTGGGTGCGGAGACATATATCTGCACTGGAAAAAATAGTTTCTTTCTTTTTCGTGGTAGTTGAACAGAAGATGCCTCTAAAGAGTAAAAGCTATTTGAATACCATTTCAAGGACACAGTATTGTATTTTCATCTTTTTCTGTCACCCTTACTGATATAGCCTACCTCCTTTTGTTTCTTAATAAAAAAGAATGCTATTTGTGACTCCTTCGCTTTTTCAGAAGTAGGAAATTGCTTTGTGTGGCATCTCTTGACAGTAGGTTCTTGGGTCAAACCAGTGTGAGCCAACGGGGTGACAGTCACCACGGCATCTAAAAAACATTTATTCATGGAAAGCATTTCCCTCTCTGAGAAGAAGGGAGGTGATCACTGTGGACTTGGAATGCCAGTGAAGCCACTGAACTGTCAGCGTTCACAGCATCTGCTGGAGCACATTCTGTGGGCTGGCCTCTATGCAAAAACCAGACGAAGCAACCTGCTTTTCAGAGAAGGAAGGCCAGATCCAGTTTTAAAACAATTTGCATGGAATCATTCAGTGGCTTACACTGTAATTGAGAACATTAAGTGGACAGTCCAAGGGGTAACTTCATTTACCATGTACATACTAAAGGATAAAAGGCAGAGCGCTCAGGCACCTTTTAGATCACATGAACTCATACCAAATGATAGTAATGATTGGAGGTGGCTTTCTCTAGCTCGTTGTCTGCTCCCCTTATTACTGCCACAGCCCACTCTCAGCTCTTCAACCCGCTCTAGGGTTCCATTTCACACTTATCACTGAGCAGCATATTTGGAATTCATTAAGAAGTGATTGAAGGCGAGCGAGTTTTTGCTTACTGCAGTGTGTGGTTGGGGACAGGGAGACTGCTTAGAACTCTAATCTTTATTTATGGGAAAGGGGGCAAAGGGACATGTGGGCTTCTTTCCCAGACCTTAGAGTGGTGGCAATTTGTTTTTCCTTTTTCCTTTTCAGGTCTGCCCTGTCTCAGCAAAGACCAAGAGACACCACCACTTCCTTCAGAAGCACTGAGCTTATTCAGGTAGTCACTGGAACTTTCTAGAATGCTCTAATGGTAGTTCTACTGACTTGATATTTGCCCTTGGCATCACTGGGCAAAGCAGCTAGAAGAAGTTAATTCCAGTTACACTGATGAACAAGCAGGATTGTGGGGGTGGGGAGGTACTGGGCAGTGTACGGCTTTGACTGGTGAAGCAGGTCGTGAACCAGGGACTGGAAATGTAGTAGGACAAAGGGACCCTCTGTTAAAGGGATTGCAGTCAGCCAGAGGACCATGAGGAGAAAGTGATGCTGCAAGGCCGGGAGGACTAAGAGGAAAAGCCCTCTATAAAGAAACAAAACAGCGTGTCTGCAGTGAAGGATGTTTTTATTCCTGTCTGGAAACCCTGTAAGTGGTTTAAAGACAGATGCTAAGGTCACAAAGTGCAAGGAAAGTCCAGATTCCAGGGACAGGCAAAGTATCTGAAAGTTTTAGGTCTACCTATGAGCCTGGCTTTGTAAACTGATGGCTTGCCTTCGGAGGGATCTTGTGCATTGCTGCCTTCCTGTGGGATTATGGTTGTGAGACACTAGCTAGCGGGCGATGCAGTTTTATCCTTCAGTTTTCATGAGTACATCAGACGAGCAGGGGGGGAATAAAGCCAGGGTGGAAAAAAATGATGAAGGGTTGTATTTGAAAACTTAGCTGTTTTCTAGCCTACTGGCTTGATGGTTTAGGGAAAATAAAATAATTATATCTGCTGTGTGTTGCTCAGATGTAGCTGCATCTGGAAAGAACAGAAAAGGACTGGTTAGCTGGGGGTGGGGCAGGGCCAGTGGTTAGCCTGGGACAGGCTTGACTGTGCCTCCCGTCCAGGGAGATTTTACTGAAGCCTTGAGACTCAGTGTGTGACACTACAAAGTAGGTTCCTGGATGATGATGGGAGCCACAGCCAGCTTCATGTCCAGATGTTGACTGTGGTTTGTTTGTATTCTGGGAGGATGAGGAAGTGTTTATCATCAAGGCCGCTCTTGGTCTTGGTAGCAATGCACATATTAGTGACCTGGGAATGTGAATTGGGAATTACACCCTGACAGTTTGCGGATGGTGAAGCCGGTGGGTAAGTCGAGGCAGCTGGGAAACTGCCTGATGTCATAGCTGTAACTGCAGGGTTTTCTTAGTAGGGTCAGGAAGTAGTTTGAGTGAAACTGCTTGTGGTTGCATGTCTAAAGAACATCCATTCTGTAGTCATTTATTGTATGCCTGTAAATTCAGTGCCCTGTCCCTTGGAGGTCCTAAGAATGTAACTGGGATGTGTGATCTTCACATTATAAACAGATAGGTATGTGTGTCAGGTCTGCTAAATGCTATGGAGGACATAAGAAGAGACATGAGAAGCTTGGGGGTGTATAACAGACCAAGAGTTGACATTCAGTTTTAATTAAGGTGGTCAAAGTCCTCTCTGCTAAGGGGCCATTTAAGCAGATATCTGAAGAGACCAATCACATGTCTCAGAAATGTCTGATTATTTGGTAAAGGAAATAAAAAATGCAAAGGCCCCAAGGCCACTTGAAAGGCTGTGGTTCAGCCCAAAGACAGTGACTAGAATAGAAGGTCTGTAAGGATGAAATTACCTCTGTCTTGTTGACAGACACTCTGTCCCCAACATTCCATCCAAAGACTTAGTATATTTTTGTTGATGAAATACATGAATCCCAAAATGAAACAGGAATGAGTATCCATTCCCATCATGGGAAAATTCTAGTTTTTTGCCTTATCAGTAGTGATCATCAGCTGGGAAATTTGTTAATGGCTTTAAGAATATTTATTAATAAGAGTTTTACAAATAGCTTGTTGGAAGCCTCCTATGTGCCAGGTATTGTTAAATGCTGGCAGTGTGTTCACAGTCCACGACACCTTGTTCCAGAGACTTTCTGTGTGTAAGGCACATTGCAGAACTTTAGATCACATCCCTTACCTGCTGTGCGGTCATACCCTCCTCTCTCTCCTCAGATCCACCCCTTGGCACCACAGCAGGGCCTCATAGTGAGACCCAGTTACCAGAGTTAAGTGATGCTTCCTATGTTCTTGACTAAGATCTTTAAAAGGGCCTTTCACCCTTATTTTTAAAAGTCTCATTTTAGCCGGGTAGTGGTGGTGCACGCCTTTAATCCCAGTACTCAGGAGGCAGAAGCAGGCAGATCTCTGTGGGTTCAAGACCAACCTGGTCTAACAAGAACTAGTTCCAGGACAGCCTCCAAAGCCTGTCTCAAAAAAAGTCTTATTTTTATAATTAATTTATTAATTTAGAGATAGTGTCTCACTGTGCAGCCCCACTAGCTGGGAACTCTCTATGTATATGAGGCTGGTCTTGAACTCACAGATACCCACCTGTCTCAGCCTCCCCAGTGCTGGAATCAAGTCTTGGCCTGCCAGGCTTGAATCTACCTGTAAGTTTTAGAAACATGGTTCAGTGATTATGTTCCTGCTAAAATCTTGCAGTTTTGAGACACAGAATGACTTTTTAAAAACTCTGCATATGTGTTTTGCCTACATGTATGTCTGTACACCATATGCGTGCCTGGTGACTGCAAAACCAGAAGAAGGAGTTAGATCCCTTGGAACTGGAGTTACAGGTGGTAGTGAGCTGCCATGTGGGTTCTGGGAATCAAATCCGGGTTCCCTGCATCTATTCCAGGGCCTTCTTGCTATATCACAACATTGCAGAGAGCTTCACATAGCAAGCAAGTCAAGGAAAGCATAGTAGGTCCGTTCTCTTCTTGTGTGGTCATTAATAACCCTTATTACCTCCTTAAATCCCAGTTAGCATTCCGTAGTCCACCTTCAAAGAGTAGTAACATGAATTTCTAGATTGTTCCCAGGACATTCAAACTGAAACTGATTTTAGCCTTTGGTTCTTTGTCCTGTGCTGTTAGGTAGAATTTAAGACATTATTACTATTCTATTCATTTAGGTAGGAGGTAGGACAGGTAGGTGTGCAGAATCATTATCCCTATGTCTGTTCCTGTATCAGTTACATTTCTGCTGTTGTGATAGAACGCTGTGACCAAGGAAGCTGGGCTCATGGTCCCATAGAAGCGAGTGTCCATCATGGCTGGTAGCATCCCAGCAAGCTGCAGGATGGGGCAGGGAACTGAGGGCGCGCACCTTTTACTGCGAGCGTGGAGCAGAGCGCGCACTAGAAACTAGAAGTAGGGCAAGGCTCTGAACTCTCAAAGCTCCTCACCTCCTAGACTTCTCCAAAGAGTGCCACAAATGCCTGGCCCTTGGGAGACAGCCCCCCCCCCCCACCCAGTTCTTCCTAGTCGCTTTGATAAAATACACAACAGAAGGAACTTGCAGGAGGAAGGGTTTGCTTTGCTTTTAGAGGAAATTCATCATGCCGAAGAAGGCGTGGTGATGGGGTTATGCCATGGTTGCTTGATCACATTTCATTTATCCAGGAATCAGAGACCTCTAGCCTGGAATCAGAGCCAGGCATAGCCTTCAGAGTCTTCTTCTCCAAGCCCACAGGGGCCTACAATACCACATCCCAGAGGGTGTCTGACTTCCTAAAATAGTGTCACCAAGCTGGAGACCAGCTGCTCAAACTCTGACCCAGCAGGGCACAGTTCGTACTCAAACTGTAGCATGCCCTCTAGTTATTTTGTTTGTTTGTTTTCATTGCTGAACTATGTGACTGGCCAAAAGTACCGAGTTCACAGAATAGGAGTGGAGAGAGTACTTGCCTGTCTAAATAATTTCTTTGCAGCTGATCTGCCCAGGCTAAGTGTGTCTCTAGTGGATGTTTATGTGCGTCCCAGGCATGTAAATGGTTCTTGGTATTTGTGTAGCTATAAAGTCACCGTCATTACACAGATAGTTTAGAGCTATTTTGATCTGATGGCTTACCCTGGGACTTTATGTCCTTATGAAGAAAAGATTAAAAGGTAACTGTCTCTTGATGAAGAGGATAATAAGTTGATGTCTACAGATTCTTTAAATTGAGTAATAGTAATAATAATGCTAAACCCTTGTGTTTGGATAGACAGATTGTTCACAAAGCAGTACGTGGACTCCCGGGGCTCGGAATGTGCTTTATCTGAGTCACTGTGTATTTGAGCCTTGTTGTTAATTTGTTTCCCATGGAACCTGGGGTTTTTGGACGAAGCAGAGTGGAATGAATACCATGAGAGTGGAAGGAAGGGATTTTGTGAGGGGAAACTTCATGTGTCTGCCTATCTGAGCCTTCCTGCTCCCACACCCCTCTCTGAGTGTGGCCAACATCTAAGGAAGCCCGCGGGACAGTTTTCCCTTCTCGACTGATTAGAAGGGAGATTATTTCCTTTATGAGCTTTTATCTCCAGTCTGGATGCACGCTATGCCCGAGGTCATGTCATGGAGCATTTAAAGGAGTATCAGGTAGCACTGACCATGTTTTAAATGAAGTCTCATTGCCTTGGTCCAAAGGGACCTAGTGTTTTCTTTTGTTCATCCATTCCACCCATCTTTGCATTTGTTCATTTAGTATTTATTATTTGCACTGTGTAAGGACCTTACATAGACAGTGGGGCCTGTCTCTAGCACCCTTCCACCAAATTTAGTCCTTGGCTCTCAGCCACTTAGTCAGGATGCAAGCTTGCCATTTCCTAATGTGCTTAATTCTTTTTTATTTTCTTCTGAGAATCTACTTGGTTTTCATACTGAGAGGCATAACAGCCCTTGCTTGGCAAATGTCTGTTTAAGAGGAATATTAAGAGTTTGGCCATCATTCAGCAGACACTCAGTACTTTAATAGGAGACATTGAAACACAACTTCTGAGTAACCTTTCCTGCAGAGATGGAAATAAGAACCTGCTAGCATCTTTTCCCTGTAAAGAAGCCAGCTTGGGGCAGAGTCATTTGGTTTGGAAAGATTGAATAGGTGCTAACTCCACAGCAGAGCTGACAAAGGCTGCATCTCAGGAATGTAGTCACAGATGGCTGTCTGAGCAATTGGAGTGCCAAAGGGAAAGTACTCCAGAGGTATGATGTCTAGAAAG